CCACCACCGCCTCACGGACCGCAACATCAACACTGTATTACCTTCGGCAGCAACGTAATCGGATGCGCCAAGCAGCTCTTCCTCCTCAAGAAATTCCGAGCGCCCAGCTCAAAACCCTCCTCTTCGATCGGCGGCTGAACACTACTCGCCCACCTTCCCCGCCGCGGCCAGCACCGCCGAAGGGCGCGCCCTGTCTTCGCCTCCTCTGCGGTGCGCATCCTCGCCGACCTCGGCTTCGACGGCCTCGACATCGACTGGGAATACCCGGCCAACCCCACCGAAGCCGCCAACTTCGTCCTCCTCCTCCAAACGGTCCGCTCCGCCCTCGACGCCTACGCCGCCCAGCACGCCCCCGGCTACCACTTCCTGCTCACCATCGCCTCCCCCGCCGGCCCCACCAACTACGCGCACCTCCCCCTCTCCCAAATCGCGCACACCATCGACTTCTTCAACCTCATGGCCTACGACTACGCCGGCTCCTGGTCCACCACCTCGGCCCACCAAGCCAATCTCCACCCGCTCACCCCCAACACCACCACGCCCTTCTCCACCGACGCCGCCGTGGCCGACTACATCGCGGCCGGCGTGCCCGCCTCCCAAATCGTCCTGGGCATGCCCATCTACGGGCGTGGGTTCACGGGCACGGCCGGGCTGGGAAAGCCGTACACGGGCGTGGGGCAGGGGACGTGGGAGAAGGGCGTGTGGGATTACAAGGCGCTGCCGAAGCCGGGGGCCGAGGTGCGGTATGATGAGGCGGCCGGGGCGAGTTACAGCTATGATGCGGCGGCGCAGGAGCTGATTAGCTTTGATACGGTGGAGATGGTGCAGAGGAAGGTGGGGTATGTGAAGGGGAAGGGCATGGGCGGGAGTATGTTCTGGGAGGCGTCGGCGGATCGGGTGGGGGAGGGGAGCTTGATTGCGGCGAGTTTTGGCGCGTTGGGGGGGTTGGATGCGTCGCAGAATTGTTTGTCGTATCCGGATAGTAAGTATGATAATATGAGGGCGGGGTTTGCGTGAGGGTTTGGTAGGTTTGTTGGTTGAGAGAAGGGGAAGGGGGAAGGGAGAAGCGGGGGTGAGGACATGGTGGGCTGGAAGGGTGCATGCATGTTTGCACTGAGGAGGAGGATTGCATTGGAGGAGCCCCGGGAAGAGGGCAGTATCCATTCGTTGCCACATATTTCTCTGTATCTTCTTTTAGTTTTCTTCATTTCGTTCATTCTTTCACTTACTAGGGATCTAGGTTGGGTAGGTGGAAGGGGGTGGATTGGGTGTTCGAGCTGGGGGTGAGCACACCACGGCTCATACTATCTATGTCTGCGTGTTTGATTCGAAACTCTTCGGGCATTCTAAAACAGGGCCCAGGGTATCAATTCATTGCATTTACGTACACAACTCTGTCCAATGCCTGTAGAAACTTCCAAGTGACATGCATGAAAGGTCTTCTGCTTGCCATAGCCATAGCACTAAAGGCAAACATAAAGTTACCGAACATCCTCGGCACCTAACCTCCCAGTAACTCGATGGCGGTTTCAAGGAGACTGTGCGCCACATAATCCTCTCGCTGCCACATTGGTCGCCCGTGCGCAAGGGAATCATCCCTACCTTAGATAGACAGTGATACTGTGTAGAATGTTGGCATGTCCGGACAAACCCAGACCTTCCTGGTCGAAGGCTATGAATGTTCGCTCGCTTATGGAAGATGCGAGATGCGACGATGAATTCATGTGCACAGTGAGACACGGCTCAGTGCGTCTCTCGAGCATCCTAGCCATGAAGCCCCGGTTGGCCCTGCACTATCTGGGATCTTCGCCCTGCTGTCTTACGATCGTCCCACGGAAACGCCCCCTTGGCTGTCATAGAGCACATGGTTGGCCGCATGTCGGGCCTGGAGCCTCGTGAATCGTTGTCGGCAACGGGCCGTGTAACGCAATTAGTCTTGCCTTGCCCCACGGCCAAGGTGATGGAGGACCCCTGAACTCGGAGTATGGGAGTTCCTGAGCTCTCCTGTGGAAGCCATCCAAAAATAAATGGTAATTAGCGCAGGCCAGCACTATGTTTAGGCATCTCATATGATGGGGGCCTTCTGCGTTTGAACCGCAGTGAGGCAGTGTTGTTGAATGTCTAGACAAAGCGGGGCTAGCGACTTCTTAGTGCTGGCACTGACTAGCCATTGTATGCTGTCCCCGGTTCGGCCGATAACGTGGATGCCACTACTCCCGCAAACACATAACACGGGGCACGGGCTGCCATTGACACTTTCCAGGTGCTGTCCGATTGTAACGTCGGCAGATTGCTCGAAGCTCCGGCGGGGTTCACCTCTGTTGACCTCTCAGTCTGCTCAACCCAAGCACGGGGATGCCTCACGTTGCACAGTGGTCGCCGATCTGAACATCCCGTCCCAGGCCGGCGGTTCCACACAATTGCGACCAGAGTGTGACCCGGAACCAGGGACTTGGGTCGGTATTTTGTGACGCTTTGTCCCGTGCTAGGGCGTGTGATATTGATAGATTTGGGCCCCGAGACAGCTCGATTCCTTGCCCAGCTGGAGGGAGGCTTACGGGGAAGGGGAAAGGTTTGTCGTCATCAGCTGGCAGCGGCGGCAAGACTATTGAAGCCGGCCCGATTCATCTAATATTGGAGGACTTGGTCGGGCCAGAGTAAAGCTGAGCCGACCTTTTACGTAGCCTCATAGACACTGTGCTGCTGCAAGGTAGGAGAGGGGGGGGGACTAGACGACAAAATTCCGGGCCGGAAGCCGGCAATTTTCGGATGGCTTTCCATCATGCTAGCATCACGAAGCGAAAAAGTGTGACCGTCCCCGGCGCCCATACAAATTGCCGCGAGGTTTGTTCGAGGGTCATTGTCTCAGCCTTCTTGAAACGCCTGTTGAAGGACTGCGCCGCGGGGGAGCCAGTACAAGAGGACGCGAGTTCGTCTCCGACCACAAGATGGGCCCAGATCCCACTGTGCACATCCCTGCAACTGATCGTCTGCATGTCAACATCGCAGTCTCCGTCGGAGCAAATACCCGATGACTCGGAAGGGAGTGGCGTCGGCTCGACCGGGGTGTCAGCGCTGGCGAACCTGGACTCCCGAGGCGGGCGGCTGAGCTGGCCGATCGGAGGATAGGATGGCGCAAACGCCAAGGACAAGTTGTGCCGTGGGACGTTCGAGGTGAAGGAGTGGGATGTTGATCAACCATGCCCCAAGGGGAGAGTGCGGGAGAGGTCAATGAGTCAGGACGAGGTACGCGACTGGCTTTGGGACGCGTTTTTAAGACGCAATGCAGAGACGGGTGTGCATGGAGAGAAGAGTTAGGCAACGGAGATCGACGCAGAATTCTGCAGCCAGCCAGAATTCTGCAGCCAGACGCATGAGTCGGCCAACAACGCCTCATGCGCAATGCACGGAGAGAGAGAGCGTGGGTGGCCCCGGTGCGTGGCGTGTGCCCCATTCACATTCACCTGCCTCGGTTAGACATACGACGACCTCCCGAGAGTCGCCTTGTCTCCCACGAGTCCGATCCATCCGGGTTTCAGCACCGAGTACCCAATTAAGCTTAAGGTGCGGATCGAAGAGATCGAGGCGTCGTGGTAACTAGCCAGCGAGGTGCGGGTGAAAACTGAGAAGTGATGGGCGGAGAGTTTGCCGCGTGAGCATCCCGTCCAAAGCGGTGAAGCGCCGAGGCTGATCGGCAAACATGATTGTGACGGACAGCGGGAGAGGTTTAGGGTACGAGAGTACATACGGATTACGCGGAGACGAAACGGACGATTTGGGACGGAGTCAAGTCCGGGTTGGTTGGCCGGCGTCGAACTAGGGCATTTTTGTGTTAAGTCGAGTGCGGTCGAGGACAACCAATGGTTGGGCGTACCGTTGCCTGCGTGGCCCGCCCAAGCGTTTTTGTGGCGGATACAACCAGACGAACCAGACGAGCGGGTGCGGTTATCGATGCAGTGACTGGGGAGGGAGCTGGGGAGGGAGCTGGGGGGGTGTGGTTCGTGCCTGTCCGTGCCTGTTCTGGAAATGCTCTGCGGCAGAGATTTGTGCGACGGGACCTACGAGCTGAATGGGGGAACCTGTCGAGGAAAGGATATCCGATTGCGGGAGGGCTCTTGCTGGGGACAGCAATTGAGTGCGCAATCGAGCTCCCGCTTTGGGACAACAGGGATTCGGGGGTACGCCTAGCAAGGATCCCGGCTGCCGATCACCCGCAAAGAGACAAGAGCATGGGGCCGGCCAGCGACTTCCTTCTAATCCGACAGCAGCGATGGTCAGACAAACATGCAGCATCCACAAGGGCCAGTCGAGAAAAAAAAACGTTGTGACGAACCCAGAAAAAAAAAGGCAAAAAAAATAAAATAAAATAAAAATAGAGCCACAGGTGCCTACATGCCCAGGTGGCGGGAGAGATGCAGAGGTCGTGTGTGGTGTAATGTTCCTCTACGCTAGTAGGCCACCCGCCGCCGTGCCGCATAACGTTTATTGGGAAAGCTGGGAAAGTTGAGTTCGTCAGCGTCGCATTCTTCCACCTGCTGTCGAACACACAAAAACCGGCATCTCAACCGTCCCACAAGCCCCCCGCCGAGCTACGGCGCAATGTGGAGCCCGAGTCGATCAACGGGGGGAGACGGGATGGGTCCGATGGGCCGGGGGTCCTTGAGGATCGGTGACAGGCCGCAGCCGGGGATCCTGGCCCAGACCTCCGCTGCGAGGTGCGAGGTGCGAGGTGCGAGCTGCGAGCGATGCAAGATGTTGGCGTGGGGACAAGTAAGGAGTGTAGTGTCTGTACAAGGCCGAGGGGGGGCACGGGCGGGATGCCTGGCCTCCCACCCCGGAGCCCTGCCAGGTTGAAGAGGGCCAGCCAGCCGGGGCATGCTGGCTGTTGGCAGCCGGCGGGCAAGGTACCTGGATGAGGTAAGAAAACAGCGGCAGTGTCCGGTTGAAGAAGTTTGACGTGCTCCCACTGTGTTCCCATCTCGCAATTTGAACCTTGCAGGCAGGCAGGGAGAATCTTCTCACCTGAGAGTGTGTACTTCGTGCTCAGACTGGTAGGAGGGAGCGATCCCTCTCATGTCTGATTTATAGACCGCCAAACCCTGCAAGGCTCACGCAATCCAGACCCGGTCCGTCCCTCCCGCACCCAAAGTCACTTCAGCCCATCGTCATTTCCCCATGGCGGCTCATAGGCGCACAGGCAGCAGTCACGGGGTAGGCGCGACTGGACAGCCACGGCAACTGCCAGGGTCGGCCTGTGAAGAGTGTCGGAAAAGGAAACTGCGATGTAAGATTTCATGATGGGTCAATGACTCTGAGCCACTGCCCTCCACTGCCATGAAGAAGAGGATCGATCGCGCCATGGCGGAGTGTGGGTGGTCTGATCACCAAAGGTGCCGATGCTGACTCGAACTCCGCCATCTCCAGGCGATAGGCAGCGACCGCAGTGCGGGACATGTGCCGATGCCGGTATCGTGTGCGAAATCAACAACAACCGCCTCGCGAGGGGACCCAAGAAGGGCGATCTCAAAGCTCTGCGAAGCCGGATCGGTAAGTCGCGGACCCGATACGACGCACCCGCGAGTTCCTTTGCGTAAGGCAACTAAACCCACGCAGTGGCCTTAGAACGCCGGCTGAGCGTCGACCACGGCGCCGCCGCTTTGTCCATTATCACGGGCGACGACTCTGCTCTAGCGACAGCATCCGAGACTCGAGCTACCACTGCCTCGGCCTCGGAAGAGGGATCTCCCACGCTTGTCTCGCCATGTCAGCAAAGCTCGCCGCTCTGGGACGGCGAAATTCACGTCCAGGTACCTCCGATGACCCCCACATCTGCCCCTCTGAGCTTTTCGACCTTCAAATTTCCACCCACGCCGCCGTCACCACCGAGGACCACATTCGTGGACGACTTGATGCGCGCAGACCTGTACGTTATTCATCCCTCTCTGGTTTCCCTTTCTTCGCTTGCGCGTCAGTACTAGTCGCTAACGGCCCTCTACCACAAAGTGACCAGCTGTATTTTGACCGAGTACATCCCAATGTTCCCATCTTCAACCAGTCGCGATACTTTGCCAGGGTCCGGCAGAACCCCTGTATCGAGGGTCCTACCTCCATGCTCTGTCTTCAGTACGCCATGTGGACGCTCGCTATGGCGCTGTCGTCCCAGTTTGAAAGCTCACGAGAGCTCCTCTACAACGAGACGCGGCAGATGCTCGAGGCGCTCGACCTAGCTGATGACGATCTGCAGCCGGTGCGGATCGAGCAGGTACAAGCCTGGCTTCTGGTATCCTTTTACGAGTTGGCGCGCGCAAGCTACCGCCGAGCTCTGATTAGCGCCGGCCGGGCGTTTCGGTTGGTGCAATTGGCGCGCTTGCACGAGGTCGACGGCCCTGGAAACTCGGTCGAAGAGGAGGATCCGGTGGTCAGGGAAGAGAGAAGAAGGACGTTCTGGATGGCCTACTCTCTGGATCGGCTCATATGTATGAGGAGTCGTTGTCCTCTGACGCTGACGGAAGAAGTGGTACGTCGTCCCTCCCAACCATTGGCTACACCATGTCCTCCCACCCGAGATACGATGATCCTCATCTTTTACTGGAACCCACCCACTCATTAAACAACGCCATGACAGATTTGTACTCGACTACCGTCGCCAGAGCTAGCATTCCAGAGCGGCCACCCCATCCCAGGTTGTTTCTTACCAGAAGCCCTCGCCTCTGGCGATCACAACTTCATCTCACCGTTCGCCGGGTCCGTGATGGTCATCAGCATTTGTGGCCGCGCACTCTCTCATGGCCAAGCCTCTGGAGTGGAAAGGGCGTTTGGGACCGCATCGCTCGACTTTTGGCTCCGGCACGAATGGCTGGACGGGATGCTGGGGCGGACACTCGAGTCGCTCACGATGAATTCGCCAGTCGCCTCGGCCATGGCCGATCCAATGGTTTTCTTCGCCTTTATGATGGCGCACGCAACGACCATCTTCATGTGCCAGATTGCAGAGGCGTCCGGGATAGACAGTCATTGTCGTCCGACGGTTGCGGACTGTCAAGGTCGCGCGACACAGGCAGCGCGGGAAATTGCTCGAATGGCCAAGGCACATGAACACATTGGGTATTTCAAGGTGAGACACGCCCGACCTCGAGAGCTGACATAAACACGGCTCCCATCTGTGTTACACGCGTGAAGCTAATGCAGAGCCCACGAGGTTAGGCCCACATATTCCTGCCGTTAGCCGTCTACCTCGGTGCATCGCAGCTGGCATCCGACCGCAAGCGACGGCTAGACGGGCACTATCAATTCCATAGCCACGGCTTGGAGACCGAAAGTGAGTCATCGCTTGACGGCGAGTTCCAGATTTGCCTGGATGCCTTGAGAAAGGTACAGAGCTTCAACCATCTCGCGAAGGAGCATGTGGCCGTATTAGAGTCACAGGAGTTTGTTTTTGTCGGAGGGCTTTAAGTGTTTTGAACCACATGCAATATACCCAGGTTAGATCTATTTTATTTCTTAATTTGTTTAACTTAGTTAACTACTCGATGTCTGTTTCTTTGTTTTCATACCCGGCGCAAGAGGAACGTCAGTATATTTCCTTGGCATAATAAACCAAACAACAGTCACCGTTGAAGCCAAATATATCTTATTCAAACTCGATGGGACGGTCAGAGTTATAATATTGGGGAAGGAAGGAAGACGAGCTCAAAGAGAACTGAGCCAAGACTTGGTTGAATGTGGATGTTGGTTTTGTTGGGGAATGTGACATGTCCAGTGATGGATGCTTCGGATGCCGCTTTGGGAATGAGAGTTTGTTGCGTAACATTATTCACCGCGCCCCGCAAATCTCCACCAAGTTTGCTTGCCTTTGCAGCATCAAGGCAACACCAGTCTCAACTAGGGTTCGTTTTCACTCGTTTCGAGGTCTCTGACTGACTCAGCAATCTGCTGAAATGGCGATACAGTGACGCGGCTTCGAAATCCGTTGAATAATTCGGGGTTATGTTATGCGTTATGGCTTGTGATATGGTGATGACGGGATTGGGGAATCGAGTATATAAGTTTGCCTCCATTCCGTGCTGCACTGCTGTTGCAACAATCATCTCATCCACAAGTTCACAACACCCTCATCCAACTAAACTCGCCAAACACCACACTCAATTCCAAGATGGCAACCCCCGACATCGAGGCCGCTAAGATGTAACCCAGCCCCCCTTCTTTGAGCAAAAGACAAGTTGACGTTAACTTTCTTATGTAGCAAGTACGCCGGTCGTCCGCGCGAGGACATCAAGATCCTGTACGACTACGAGCTCAAGAATGCCCCCGGCAAGTCCCTCGTCGCGCTCGAGCTCAACTACAAGCCGGGCGGCTGGAGCCCGCCGCACACGCACAACGGCGCCCAGGCCGTCGCCTACGTGCTCGAGGGCGAGTTCCTGAGCGGCATGAACGGGAACCCGCCCCAGGTGTACAAGCCGGGTGAGAAGTTCCTCGAGCTGCCGGGCTGTCATCATACGGTCTCGGATAATGCCAGCATGACCGAGTCGATGAAGGCGATTGTGGTGTTGGTCATTGATACGGAGAAGATTAAGGGGGAGAAGGGGTACGCGGCGATTACGGAGATCGATCCTGGTTGGGAGTGGGCTTGAGTCTAGGGGCTTGAAGGAGATTTCCAAGATAAGTAATAGGAGATGTGAGTGGATACAAATGAGAAGTTAAAAACCGTTATCAATCGCGCCTCTTACCTAGGTACCTTACTTGAGAAATAAACCCGGTTCCAACGCAATGATCTTGTCCCTGGCCTTCACCAGCATGCCTGTCAACAGGTCCCTGTGATTTTCAAAAAGCCTGAAGCCCGGATTTCCGCCTCCTTCAAGACCAGCGGCAAACTCGGCGAGTTTATCCCCCCACTGCTTCCAGATGACAGGGCCATTACCGTCATACCAACCGTCCCAAGCGGTTCTGCGGGCCGGCCGCGGTAGCTGTTTCCTCACACACTCGGCATGGATTTCGTCTCCGGCAATCAGTATCCACTGAGCAATGACCACGATCTCGCAGTCCAAAAGCTCTCCATCTGATTGTAGCAGGGCCGAAATGTAGGACCCTGGCGACTCGAAACGAAACAGGTCTCCTTTGTCAAGTCCGGCGGCCGTACAGCGAGCCGAGAACGTTTGGTAACTGAGATAGGCGGCGAAATGGTCCTCGAACTCGTCGATATCTTTCTGAGAGTTCAAGGTTTCGGCATCTTTGACCGTCATAGCTGTGGGGGTTGGGATAGTCAGCGGCTGGAAAACATGAACGGGAGGGTGGACCTCTTACATCCAGGGTCATGCTCGTGAAGCGCCCACGGGAAAAGCGGATCACGGGTCCATATCTCGCTGTCGATCCATGCGAATTCGCCTTGCTTTTCAAGGTAAGATAAATGTCAGAAAGCTGCGTCTATCAGTGCCAATGAACGAACAACCTACCACAAATATCTTGACGGCATGCGTGGGTAGCTTCCGCAACTCCGAGAGCAGCTGAATGACTTTGACCTGCTTCGGTTCATCGTAGTCCATGGCTACGGCTACTGAAAACACCGTTTCATAGAACACGGCGAGGTAGCCGGTCCACCCTCTCTTTTTGCCGTTGAATCCGTTGAACTTTGGCTCGTAGATTTCCCCATAGAGGTCATCGAAACGTCGCGCAAATGCGGCAGGGGCACCGTCGTCATCGGAAAGCAGGTATTCCTTGTAGAGGGTTGCGATCATTGATTCCAAGTCCTCCTCTGGATTCCCTCTGACCAGTACCAGGTCATTGAGCAACGGCAACCACCCCGGCCTCAACTGATCGAACACACTGAAGTGTTCCGATGGTTCATTCGTAGCCATCTTGAACCTTGGATGAGTCGAAAATAGGGGTGATTAGATTGGGCTGAAGCGACAAAAGGTGGTGAGAGAAGTTTGAGAGGGGAGGAGAGGCGAATGGCCCGCGGGATGGGAGCGTGCAAACTGCTTCCGCTGTTGGTTGTCCCCTGTCTGTTAACCCTCCAAGCGGGAGCACAAGCACCACTGATTGGTTAGGCCGTTGGAAAGATGTTGGCGGTTAAGCACCTCAGGGGCGGGGAAGATGGAACCGCAGCTGGAACCACGCATGGCCATTTCCAGGTTACACTGGGATGTTCTGCGCCGCGCAGGTGTTGGCTTAAACTTCACATCTCAAACAACTCAAACAAGCCTTTACAGGCGGGCCTCCATCTCATGAGGAAATATTTTCTACGAGAAGCGGAGGAAGTGCCGACAACAAGGGGCGCTATTACTGGGGGATGTTCATCAAAACAAACCCCCCCCCCCACCCAGCCCCCAATGCGACTCTAGATAGAGGTCATTGTTGGCCTCTGGCAGACCGCGGCCAGCTCCTTGAAACCTTCAGGCCCAATTGCCCAAGGGCCCTGGGATACTCTGTTGGCCTGGGAAACGATTGACTGGGGATGACGCTGCCCCCAAAAGGAAAGCCCTGCATCCGTAAGGGCAATGTTCTGGGTCATGATAAGTAGTCGAGAGTAGGCTTGTGGGTATTGCCTGTTGAATCTCGAGGAAACAACCTAGAAGTGCCGGTCAATTTCGAGTCCAGCGCGGCTACACATCAAATTATATCGCCCCTTACAACCTCAGCATCGACCCCCTCTTACCCCTTTTTATTATGGGGTGCGGTAGCTCTAAGGAGGAACCGACGAAGCCGTACCATGGACATTCAACGGGACCAAGACCGTCAAAAAAGTCTGGCGAGGAAAGCGATACACTCTCGGAGCTCAGTACCCGGCCTGTGGCCCCCAGCCGAGCAGGGCATGCCCAGCCGCCCACACGCCCTGCCCCTGTTCAAGTCTCAAAACCCAAGCAACCAGACGGCAGAGTGAACTCAGCCAACCCCAAAACCTCATTTGTAAGATTTCGCCTGCAAATCATGCCCCACACACCATCACTGACATTGGCACGCCATCTTTTACCTACATGTAGCAATATGTTTCACCAAGAGGGAATCTCCCGGTAAAGAGGGTAGAGAACATCGTGGCCAAAAGTCCTGCACCGCCAGACCAGTCCCTCCGGGGGAAATTTCCCAAGCGGTACCGGAATACCGAAGGGCCGCCCAATAACCGAACACATAACTTCAGTGATTGGGAGATCCGCCAGCAACAAGATACAGCTGGTCACAGAAGCACGGAGGCATACGAGTACCCCGTGAAGACACTGGTGCCCGAAAAACCAGCATTCACGTCCGAGTTTGATTTTGCCGAAGATCCGGCTGCCCTCAAGACTGTCAATGCCGTATTACACCCCAACGATAGAAGGCAATATAGACAACGCTGGGAAACACCACCCAACGACCCCGGGCCAATTCGTGCGGTCGTTAACAAAGACCAGCAACTTGTTGGGGTTATGTACCACCCAAAGGGTGACACTCGTGGGTATAAGCGCGCCCATCTGGAGCCCTTGGACGGAAAGGGGCGCGGTGAGGTAGCCCGTTACGACGACCAGCAGCAAACGGGGCGGACCACATGGCCCCAACGAGGCCCGGACTGAAGAAACGGCGTGTTGTAGACTACCTGTATTAATTATGTCGGATCTTAAGAGTGAATGACCGGCCGGCTGCAGTTAAAGGGGGTGGGGGGCGGCGAATACCAATGATGGATGCATGCAGTCGATTCATCAAATATTTTGACCAATGATTCACGTTTTAATGGTCTGTCTTCCCGGGTGATTCGAACTACATACCGTCAGGAATGTGATGACGATGTTGGGATGCGCTGGTGGTGAGTAGCCTCCTGTAGTGGACATGGGAGTAACAGCGTTATGCTATCCGTGTTCGACGTCCGCCACAGGCATGCTTGTGGCATCCAGAGTTTTGGGAGGGTGCTTGTTGAGTCGCTGACATTAACCTCTCCTTGTGTAATACTGAACAAACTTTGGAGAGCACTCCATACGTACCACCTTAATATACTGTACGCCGGACGAGTGTAGGTGTAGAAGGGCGGTTGTTGCTTTGCAATCTTGTGTCTTCTGCACATACCTTGAAGCCGTAATGGTCACCCCTATGCTTGAGGTAGGTTCGTTTTTTCGGCAGCCAGGCTGGATCCGTCCCCGGTTCCGGGCCCGATGTAGTAAATAAACCAGGCTCAAGCGCCACCACCTTGTCCCTGGCTTCCACCACCATCCTTGTCAACGCCTCCCTGTTCCTCTCCAAGAGTGTGAAGCCCGGGTCTTGACCTGCTTCAAGGGCAGCCAAAATCTCTGTGAGTCTGTCCCCCCACCACTTCCAAACGGCGGGGCCGTTGCCGTTTGCCCAACCGCCCCAGCGCGAGCCGCATAGGGGGTGGTTCAGCGGCGAGAGTTGCTTCGCCACGCACTCAGCGTGGATGACGTGTCCGGCAATCAGGATCAATTGAAGAATAGCCGTGATTTCGTAGTCCAGAAGCTCTTCATTCGGCTGTAGGGTTGATGAGATGAAGGACCCTTGCCAATCAAAAGGAGCCCTATAACGGTCTTCGGCGTCCAGTCCGGCGGCCGTGCAACGAGCCCAGAAGGTCTCAAAGCTGATATAAGCAGCAGCGTCGCTCTCAAAAACTTTGATATCTTCCTGAGATTTCAGGGCTTTGGCTTCTTCGGCCGTAAAATCTGGGTTGACACAATTAGTTAGCGCCCACAGGTCATTGGATCGAAGAGAGGAGAAGGTGGTAACCAACGGGACAAATTCGGTTGGAACATGTCGAGTACATACGGTAGAAGCGGGTCGCGAACCCAAGTCTCACTGTCGATCCATTCCGATGCCTATTAAATGTAAGAAACCGTCAATATACATAGTATAGAAAGGTACCGTCTCTAGGTATCCATGGTCGAGGGTGAACTTGCCACCATTACTTTGTTCGCATGTGTAGGCAGCTTCCGCAACTCCAAGAGTAGTTGGATGACCTTCACTTGCTTCGGATCATCGTAGTCCATTTCCCTGGTCACGGGAAACACTGTCTCGTAAAATACCTGGAGGGGCTCAGGCGGATGTCTTCGTTCACGCCGGTCTTTTGCTACGTAAACATCACGAAACAACAGGTCGTCGAAACGTAGCGCATATGCAGCGGGGGCACCCTCGTCGTTGGAAAGCAGGTATGCCCTGAACATGGCTGCGACTATTGATTGGAAGGTCTCTTGTGGGCCTCCTAAGTGCCGTGCCAGGTAATTCACCAGCCGGAACCACCCCGGCCTGTAGAACTGGTCCCATACATCAGGGCTTCTTGATCGTGATTTGGTAGCCATCTTGAACCTTGGATAGGTTTGTCCTCTAAATGGTTGATCCACAAAAGGGGCAAAAGAACTTGCGGAGAGAGAAGTCGGAGGAAAAGAGAAGAACGTGCCCACAGGATGAAGGAGTGCAAGACCATGTCCCGCTTGCTGAGTAAATATATTCAACCTCGAAGGAAGGGCTCACCGGTGCCATGATTGGTCAACAGCTGAAATGGTTGCCTAAGTCCTTGCTGGGTAGGGGACGGGGAAACTGCACGCATGAAACCATGGCATAAGTTACTAAGAGAGTAGAGAGTCCTTCCCCATACAAGCGCATAAAGAAACGACCTCGTTTTATTTTTATCGGGGATGGGTCGGTGGTGGATGTCCAGATGAATGGTGAAGTTACTTTCAAGGCGTGATCGGCCTCCTGCAGCGAACATGGGGTGCCTCGGATTTATCATTTGACAGCGCCATCCTACTGGCGTTCCACGCCCCGCAGGAGACATCCTTGGGTCGCCATAGGGTTTGGGAGGCTGCCGAAGCTGCTCATTGAGCCGCTGACATCAACACCCTTGCGTCATAACATTCAGCGGAAGAAGAAGAAACTCTGAAGAGCACCGTATACACTCCACCTTGCTATACAGTATACATCAGACGAGTGCACGTGTAAACAGACGGTTGTTGTTTTACAATGTCTGCTGTTAAAGCAGAATCATTGAACGGATGCAACTCAGATTCCAACGCCGTGGTTTGGTGTCCGGGCGATACACTCATGGCAGACCCAGATATCGCCGGAATAGGGGTATGGTGCCACTAGCTCACTCCGCTCTTCTCAACGGGCGTAAACTAATAAATACGCCGCAGGTCATCAGTTCCTTTATCGCCTCGTCGTGTCTAGCGATCATCGGCACCTGCCTCTACCTCGCGCTGATCCGCTCTGGTCTTGTCCCGGACGGGAGTTTCGACCCGGCCGACGGGCGAGGGCGCAGCCCACCCGCCCCAGATGAGAGTTTCAACCTGGTCGACCGCTGGATGCGCCAACACATCTGCGCCCCATCTGTTCGCTTCGTCCTCCGGTCGCGGTGGATAGATACCCGCATCGGCAGGATCCGGCGCACGCTCTTCTCCTTTGTCATGTCACTCGCCGACATGCAACTGGTCACGGGCATCGCCATGCTCACCGCCGCCGTCATCAAACTGCAACGTGGCAGCATCACCGTGTACCATTTCAGCATGGTGACCAACCTCGCGTGGTTCAGCAGCAACGTGCATCTGCTTGCCCTGCTAGCCATTCGCACGGAGCATATTGGGAGTATGAAGAAAAGGCGCCGTTGGTTGCGGCTGACGTCGCAGATGGGGTTGTCAATGTCAGGGAAGACCAGGTCCGCATTCAGCTGGGGAGGGGATATCATCGCACGAATTGTCGCTATGCTCACCTTGGCGGCATTGCTGTTATACTGTTCGTATGTCTCTGGGGCCAAGGGGTGGGATCACAACTACGACTGCCCTGCTGCCTGTGCAAAAGGGAAAGAGAAGGGAGGAAGCCCTCTTGCATGGATGGTGGTAGACTTTGTGCTGGTGCTTCTGATTTATCCGCAGAGATGTCTGGCCCTATGGCCAGCAGTGGGAGCGTGGTGGATTGACAAGGCGAGACATCGGATCGTTGATTACCAAGGCCTTCCCGGAACAGACAGAGATCGGAGGCTGAATTCGCAGCGAAAGGTGTTTGCCTGGGTCTGGTATGTCGTATCGTCAGAAACCATGGAGGTCGCCGTGGATGGGTTTTTATGGTTCGTCCTAGGCGTGTATTGGACCTTTGACGACAGGAACAGCATGCATGAAGGGTGGAAAGACTACTCGGATATTGGAAAGGAGAATGATGTGGAAGGCTTTGGCCAGTTGGTCCCTCTACTACTTCTGGGGCTTCCCTTCTTGCAGATTCTGGAGACGTACTGCGGTAAGTTTATCCATGTTGCTGCATTCAGTGGAAAAGGGGGGAAGCGGTACCGGACAGTCGGAGCTGACGTATGGTCAACCGCATCACGGATACAGCACAATCGAGAGAGGCACAACGCGAGCATCAGGAGTTACATCCGCTAGAAATCGACTTACAGGAATCCTCAAGAACACGTTTAAACGCCAGGACGATCTGAAAGATGTCAGTAGGCTACGGTCACTCACGAACTATAAACGTACAGAGCGGGTAGTTCTCGTTCTGAGCATCATACAGCGTTAAACAACTGACCACAAGTCCTGGGAGACTAGGTATCCAAATAATCTTCAAAGTTCAATTTCAACCACGTGTGTTATTCCGTGCCGTTGAAGTAGAATATTGCTTACACGGGATGATTACAAGAAAGACCGAGTGTTCAATATTGCAGTCACAATACCCCCTGGCCATTCTTCCCGAGGGCTCGCCATGGGTTGCGTAAAAACCAAGACTTGGTTCGGTTCTCACGTTTGGGCTCCGACATGGGCAACCAATCCAAGCATTGCCGTTGCTGCTGAAATAAGTCCATTCGCTTGGCCCTCTTGTTTAACATGGTGGTCAGACTCAGCCGTGCTCACAACATGAAGCCACAACTAGCACGACGCACAAGACCCTCGCTTCCGAGTTTCAACCACTTGTAGCACCAAAACGCCCACCACTCAGCCGATTGGAATACTGCAAGCGAGTTTCTGTCCTACGATTTGTTGTGTACCGTTGAACCCGAGCGCCCGAGAGCGCGGTAGCGAAGTGATTCTGTGAGATGCCACTTCTAGACAGTAGCACTCGGGAAATAACATAAGCTGTGCAACTGTGTGTGACTGAGCTGGTAGTATCACAGCCGGGCGCGGACGGGGAACGGACAGTGATACAAAACGGAAGAGGAATCGCATACACCCCTGGACAGCTAAGGTCCCTCGCGACAACCCGGGCTATCCTGGATCAGAAAATCCTTCGTTTCCGAGGGCTTGTTCTCACCCTGACTCAGGTTACATTAAAGCTGCACACGGAGAGGGGTGGTCAGCGAGTTTGCTCTGCAAGGACCATGATGAACAGACAGAGACAGCCCAACGGACTGACGATCTTAACCCCTGTCTCGCTTCCCCCCGTCGGCTCCTCCCTGACCTCTTTTTGACTGGCCCGTGATGGCTCAACAACAAAGCAGCCCCGACTGACGATCCACGATCGGGGACCCGCTGCCGATCAACACCATCCAGGGCAGTTGGGCTGCGGGCTCATCACTCAGGACCTCCACTGCAGCATGCACGAACAGGCCCAACTATTGCTTATCGACCCTCGAGGCCCTTCAGACTATTCGAACTAGTTACAGAGACCTGGCTAACTCGCAGCTATGCAAAGACCAAGCCACCCCAACCGCAGACAGCGGAGTCTCTCTGCCCCTCCCGCATCCCGAACGCCCGAACGCCGCAGACTTCCCCCCTGACGGTACCCAATGAAAAGAAGCCAAACCAACCCCAACCCACTGACAACACATGCTGAAGAAACAACCAACAGGTCAGACAATGCAACGCTAGGCCCGCGAAATCCCTTCCAGCCCCCACCGTCCACCAAACCCGCCGACGCCAACTAGTCTATGTACATTCCGTACTTTGTAGCGATAATGTCCCCCCCCTGATCAACACACACGACCCACGCACGCCATACCATACCACGCCATCCATCCATACCACACACGTTTTCGTTACCCAGGTACCCTAGGAGCACTCCACAAAGCGACTCCTCACCGCCACCGTGCCCGCCAACCCCCCCAAACTCGCGCTCTGCATGATGTCAAAGATGGACAGGTCGGCGCCGGCCTTGAGCGCCAGCATGTTGCGCAGCTCGACCGCCACCAGCGAGTCGACGCCGTACGCGGCCAGCGACTTGTCCGCCACCACGTCGCCGTCCGCCAGCATGAAGATGTCAGTCAGCTTGCGCGCCAGCGCCCCCGCCACGTGCGCGGCTGCGTCGGGGAGGGTGGTGGAGGCGGCCAGCAGGGTGGGGAGGTCGGTGCTGTTGGGGGGCGTCGATCCTGTTTGGGGGTTGGGGTTGCCTCCGTTTTGGGAGGCTGCCGGTTGTTGGTAGGCGAGGCTGGCGAAGCGGAGGTCGCGCTGCAGGGGGGAGTCTTCGGACTTGGTGGGGCCGGTGTTGAGCCCGAGGGCGAGGGACCCGGCGTAGGGCGTGGCGATGGCCGAGCCGATGGCTGCGAGCACGTCGTCCTCGCTGAGGGCTGTGAAGCCATGGCGCTCGAGGGCCGTGATGGTCTTGCCCTGCTCGTCGTCGGCCAGGTAGCCGACCGACTTGACGATGCCGAGGTCGATGGACACGCCGGTGAGGCCTTGCTCAACCCGGTGCCGGGCGAGGGCGTCTTGGAAGGCGCCGCCTGCTGAGTAGTTGGCCTGGCTGGCGAACCCGACCACGCCGATGAGGGAGGACAACATGATGTAGAAGTCGAGGTCGTCCTGCTCGGCGAAGTAGTGGTGCAGGTTCCAGCTGCCCTGCACCTTTGGGGCTAGCGCCGCGTTGTGGTTGTCGAGGGTCATGTGTTCTAAGACCGAGTCCTGTGGGTGTCGTCGTGGTTAGCATGTGGCTTTTTTGTTTGATTTATGGGCCGTCGCAACTTACCCTGAGTTCCATTCCGCCGTGGATGATTCCCTTGATGGGCGGTCTCCTGGCCCTGGCATGCTCATCAAGCGCCCGCTTCAACTCGCCCATCTTTGAAATGTCGCAGCCGATGGCCGTGACCTCCACATTGTGCCCTGTAGCTTCGAGTTCCTCCCGAAGGCTGTTGATCTTGCCTCCGGTGTTGGCGCTTCTCGACACAACAACCAAGTGCCGTGCGCCGTGCTCAGCGAGCCAGTGGCAGATGGACCTTCCAATGCCACCAAAGCCACCGACGACCATGTAGGATGCGTCGGGCCGGAGCCTGGTGGTAGCCGTTCGGGGGATCACCTGAAACAAAGTTAGTAAAGAGCCAGTCCTCGTTAGCGTGTGACCGATAGCACATACCGGAACCAACGTTTCAGGGGTAACAGCCAACACAATCTTCCCCATGTGCTTGCCGGCCTGCATCAACCGGAACGCCTTCTCAACCTCGGAGATAGGGTAGACCGTGACAGGATGGACCGCGTCGATCTCCTTGGCCGCCACCAGCTTGACGACATGCTTCAGGATCCGGTTCGCCTGCATCGGCTTGCGCTCGCCTAGTGTGATCACGTCAACACTAGAGAAGGAGACTGCCCTGGTAAAAGCCTCCATAGCGAGGCTGTTGTTGAGCTCAAAGTCCCGCTTGCCCAGCTCCACAAAGCGGCCAAACGGTGCCAGGCAGTTGAAGCTCTCTTGCAAGAGACTGCCTGCCAGCGAGTTAAGCACCACATCCACACCCTTGCCCTCTGTAACATCCATAATACCCTGAGCAAAGGCTGTGTCGCGGCTAGAGAAGATGTGGTCCTCGGCGATGCCATAGTGCTCCATCACAAACCGGCGCTTCTCCCTCGGTGCCGACCGTCACAAACACCTTCCGCACCAACCCGCTGCGCCAGCATGACCGCAGCCTGGCCCCCCCCCCCCGTAGCCGAGCCCACATCAACGGCCGACTCACCGGGCTGCAGCCGCGCCATATCATACAGCGACAAATACGCCGTCACGTACTGGGTCGGCAGGGACGCGGCCGTCTCAAAGGTCATCTCGTTGGGGATATGCACCACACTGCTCCAGTGCACCCTCGTCTTACTGCCATAGTGCCCCCGCAACAACACCGACACACGATCCCCCGGCCGGTAGCCCATGGCCGCCGCACCCGGGCTCACGCGCTTGACCACGCCGGCGCAGTCGTAGCCCATGACCTTGGACTTGAGCTGGCCCATGGCGACCATGACGTCGCGGAAGTTGACGCCGAAGGCGCGCGGCTCCACCTCGACGAAGTCGTCCGGGAGGGGCTCGGCGGCGGTCGGGTCGTCGTCGAATGCCAGCGTGTCCAGGAGGCCGGTCGTGCCGATGGTTAGGCGGAGGGGGCGGTCCGCTTGCAGGAAGGGCTCGAGCCGCGGGGTGGGCGCCTCCGGGGCCGGGCCGAAGACGGCGTTGTTGCGGTCCGTGTCTTTGAGGTAGCGGGGGATGTGGATGATGCCGTCGCGCTCGGCGAACTCGTAGTCGCTGGGGGAGTCGGTGCCTGTGGACTCGTCGAAGAAGCCCTTGAAGACTTCGGTGATGGACTTGACTGCCTCGGGCGTCCACATGGGCTGGGAGGGGTCCATGTCGAGGGTGCCGAGGCGTTTTCCGGAGTATTCTTGCCGGAGAGACCGGAGGAAGCCGGAGGCGAGGCTGGCGAGGGGGTTGGTGCAGGCGTCGGCACCGCCCTGCGTCAGCCAGAGCAAGCCCTTGGATCTCGTGCAGAGAGTTTTGAGCCCCTCAAATTGCAGGGGGTTTGCGTTGGCGAGGATGGGGTTCTCCGTGTCGTCGACAAAGATGCAGACTTTATTGTTATCGGCCGGTGCGTCCTCGAGGGTGTGCACACTCGGGACCGTCCAGGTCAGGAGGCCGATGGAGAGCCGGAGCTGGTCGATCCAGGAGTCTGGCGCCGATGGGCCGGCCGTGACGAGAGCGATGTCAAAATCGAACTTTGGCGCGCTGGTGACGGCGGTTGATGATACGACGCTGAAAGAGTACAGCTCGTCGTCGTCACAGTCCCGAACTTCGGCTTCGACGCCCCGGAACCCAGTCTTGTGCAGCACACGGTCCCACATGGGGACAGTCAGGGACGGGCTAAACTTGCGGTCCTCTTCCTCGCCTACACAGGATGTTAGCAACTTCGTAGGGGCATGCCATATGCCATGGGGAAAGATGGAGGGAGACTTACTTCTTCCTCCCACTCTGAATGAAACTCATAAGTCGAATTGATTATCCCATCTTGTCTCTTGGACTCTCTTCATTGAAAGATACTTCACCACTCCGCGTTGAGCCGCTCTATGCCGAACGGTGTGCATGGTTCTCTCCTTAGACTGCGGAGCGTGCAGTACCTGGCGGGCCACCACGACATCATACCCTTCCTCCTCGAACCCCTGCGCCACGGGATCCATCTCAATATCCAACTTCTTATACCGCATCACCCCTTCCCACTCGCCGCCAAACTTCTCCCTCGCCTTCTCAAAAAAGCCTGACGACACGTCGGTAAAATCATAGCTCCCAAGCGCCTCTCTCCCCCTCCCATTCCTCCCCAATGCCCCCAGAATCTGTGTCGTCGCCCCTCCAGTCCCCCCTCCAATCTCCAACACCCTCGCCCTCGGATTCCGATGCGCATGCATCGCCACCAGCTCCCCGAGTTTCGCATTCGCCCTGGCCCACTTCAGCCCCTCCAAATAATACCTCGACAACAAGCCCCCCTCCAGCATCAACTCCAAGGCCGTACACTCCCCCCTCAGAATCCCCACGATCCTCTCCCCCAACCGACAAACCATCTCGCCATTCGCCGACCCCTCCCTCACCCTCTCCAACACCCTCACCCTCTCCTTCACCCCCTCCCCCACTACCCAACTCTCACACCCCTTCCCCAACCCCCCCGCCCTCGCCACCTCCACCTGCAACCGCATCCACAAATAAAACTTCCTTTGATACCCCTCCAGCCGCGCCACGTCCGCTGCCGTCAGCCCCGCCACCGCGTCCTGCATGTACAGCAGGCAGGCGCGGCGCAGGTCGACCAGCTGCGCGGCCTCGTGCGGGGCCAGCTCGCTGCCTGAGGTGCTGGCGCAGGTAGGACGGCGGGAGGAAGCGGGTGTCGGGTGCCCAGAGGGCGGTGGTGAATTTTTGGTGGGTGTGGTGGTTTGGGGAAAGGGGGGGAGGGGTGGGGCCGATGGAGTGGTAGAGGAGGTCGGTTAGGGTGAGGACGGGGGGAGTGGTTTGGGGGGTTGGGTTTGGGGGTGGTGGTTGGGGTTGGGGTGACGGTTATGGAGGTGGTCATGGTTTGGGCGTCGGCGTGGGTGAGGTCGGTGTAGGCTTTGAAGGCGTGCCCGGCTTGTGAGGTGATGTTGTGGGATATCCAGAGCTGGCGGATCGAGCGGGGGACCTTGGGCGTGCCGACTGTGTTGCCTGCGCCGGGGAGGGCGGTGTAGGCAGCTTGGAACACCGAGTCGAGTGTTGTTGGGTGGACGATGTGCTCGTGCTGGTGTTGCTTGGGCATGGTGGCTGCCGAGTCGACGACGGTGAAGGATGTGACGGACTGCTTGCCCCGGGCGCGGATGGTCTTGAGGTTTTGGAAGATGGGGCCGTGGGAGATGCCCCCGGACTTCAGGCTGGCGTAGATGTCGCGGGGGCTGATGCGGACTCGGTACGCAGAGTCATCTGCCGCTGGGGTGACATTCCATCGTGGCTTGCGTGCATCTTGCTCGCCGCCTGCGGGGCCGTACTCGACCATGATGAGGCCCTTGCAGTGGTCAGTCCACTTGTTGTCTGAGGTGACAGACTGGACTTGGAATTCGGAGTAGTCCTTGGTATCAAGCGCCCTGTCACCGCATGGACGGAGCGAGAGCTGCAACTCTATACCCTCGCTTGTCTCGGGGACAACTAGGGCGTTGAGAATGTCAACGTCCCGCAGTTGGTACCCGAGAAGCTTCCTGTCCGGAAATTGTCGGGAAGCAAGATAGGATGCGCCCTCAATTGCCATCGACAAGTAACCCGCGGCCGGGTAGATGATGGTGTTCTGGACAACGTGATCTCGGATCCAAGGGACATCGTTGATGCGGACAAAGTGCCTCCATGACGGCGCACTGAGGTTGGTACCAAGCACCAGGGAGCCCAGTAGGTCATGGGGTTTCTCTGCCCGAGCCCGGAGTGCCTTGTTCGCCCGGGGCTCGTTCCAGTGCCGGGTCTGGTGGTTCCAGGGGTAGCGAGGCAAGTCGTGCAGAACCTTGAGGCCGTGCTTCCCGTAGGGAAAGTTGACAGCGGCAAGGTTGAGCGGGTAGCTCTTCTGCATGAGGTTGCTGACCAGAGCCTGCATCGTGTCCACGGCGTTCTGCTTCCTGATCAAGCAGCTTGCGTAAGGGATGTCGACGTCCGTGAACTCGGGCATTCCCATGATATCCTGGATGGGCCCGGAGAGGGCAGCATGCGGGCCAACTTCAATAACCATATCAACAGCCGGCTCACCACCAGGCGTCTCAAAGCACATGCTGCGGTAGGCCTCCACAAAGCGGACAGGCCCCGTCAGACTTCTCACCCAATGTCCAGGGCTGCCAATCTCGTCCACATTATCCAGCCGAGCGCCGGTAGCCGGCGACGAGAAGATCAAATCCAGACGCTTCTGCGCAGGGCGGACCTTGTTCTCCATCGAGGCGTAGTAGGCATCCGCTACGGCCTCCATGTGGTGAGAGTGCCAGGCGGCATCGACCTTGAGGCGCCTCGCAAAGATGTTGTCCTGCTTCAGGAGCGCCTCGAGCTGGTCGAGACCGCACACGTCACCAGACACGGTGATGCTGCTGGGGCTGTTCTCGCACGCCAGCACCACCTTCCCGTCCGTAATCCGCGGGAGATACTTCTCGCTGTCCTTCGCGCCCAGACCGACCGCCACCATGCCGCCCTTCCGGGCGAACTGGCGGCTTCCTTCCGAGGCCAGGCCTCCGCGGGCAAAGGCGATCGTCATGGCCGAGGCTAAGTCGAGAGCGCCGGCGGCAAAGGCAGCGGCAATCTCGCCGCTCGAGTGGCTTGTTACCGCAGTGGGGTTGATCCCCCAGGCGCGCAGGAGTTGTGTCAGGGCAATCTGCACGGCAACGCAGACTGGTGTGCTGTAGTCGAGCTGGTTGACCCGCGATGTCTCCTGGTCGCGGTTGAGTTCCTCTGCAAGACGACTTCGTTAGTTACTGGTAACAAAAGGGGCCATTTCCGCAAACGTACCGATCATGTTCCACCGCGCCCCCAGCTTCTTGAGATGCGCGTCACAGTCCAACAAAGCAGCCTTGAAGACGGGGTAAACATCGACGAGCTCCCTTCCCATGGCCCACCACTGGGCGCCCTGGCCGGTGTATACGAGCCCGAGCCTGGGAGTTGAGGAGGCTTCCCTCTTTACAGGCTTGTTCCTTCCCGAATCGAGCGTCTTGACCAAGCCTGCGATGCTGCTGGCGGCAAACGTCGACATCCAGGGGAACTGGGAACGGCGGTGGCCGAGCGTGTAGGCCAGGTTGTCAAGGAAAGCCTCCTCGTCGGCGGGGCTGACCGATAAGAGGTGTTTCTTCAGGTTATCAGCCATCGCTTGAGTCGCCCTCTCGTCCTTCCCGCTAAGGAGGAAGATGCGGGAGCGGCCCGGGTCCTCCTCCTCCTCCGCCATGCTGATACCGCTGTCTTTGCGGGAATGGCCGTGGTGGTGGCCGTTCGTACCGTTTGTGTGCCCGTTGGTGCCATTTATGCCATTGGTGTGACCATTCGCGCCGTTCCTGTACCCGTTTGTCACGCCATTGCCGTTGCCGTTTGTCGGTGCAGAAACCGGGACGGCGCTGGCAGAAGCGGCGACAAAAGAGTCGAGGCTCTCCATGATGACATGGGCGTTGGAACCACCATAACCAAAGTTGTTGATGGATGCTCGCCTAATACCCTCCGGCTCGGGCCAGGACTCGAGAGACGTGGGAACCTGGCAATGGTCAGCGGGTTATCTGGAATATTCCCTATTGTGGGAGTGTTCAGCGACGAGGGGGTGCAAAAACACGTACCTTGAGGTTCCACTCATCCAGATGCAGCTTCGCGTTGGGCTTCTCAAAGTTGATGCTGGGTGGAATTTGCCCCTTTTCCAACGCCAGTGCCACCTTGATGATAGCCGCAACGCCGCTCGCCGTTTCGGTGTGGCCGATATTTGTCTTGACGGAGCCGATGCGGAGGGGCTCGCCGTGCGTTCTCGTGTCCTTGAAGACAGAAGCAATGGCAGCCACCTCGATGGGGTCCCCGGTCGGTGTGCCGGTGCCGTGCGCCTCAAAGTAAGTCGTCTGTGCCGGATCGAGGCCAGCTCGCCGGTAGCATTCCCGGACGAGGGCTTCTTGTGCCTCGCCACTCGGCGTTGTGATGGTTTCTGTCTTGCCATCCTGGTTGACGCCACTATCTCGGATGATGGCGCGGATCGGGTCACCGTCCCGGAGAGCGTCGTCCAACCTCTTCAGGACCACCGTCGCGGATCCCTCGCCGCGCCCGTACCCGTTGGCGCGGCTGTCAAAGGCATATGACTTGCCGTCTTTAGAGATTAATCTGGAGGCTGTTAACAAACGTGGTTACGCTAACACGTGCGTTCGGGGACAACTCACGTCATAGATGACATGGCGAGAAACATGTCGGGGTTGAACATGACGTTGGCACCGCCCACAATGGACATGTTTGACTCCCCTGTCTTCAGGCTCTGGCACCCCTGATGCAGCGCCGTGAGCGTTGTGGAGCAGCCAGTATCGACCGACATGCTAGGCCCACGAAGGTCAAAGAAGTGGGAAAGTCTGTTCGAGGCCATGGCGGCGCCTGTCCCCATGAGGAGGAATCGGGGCAACGCATCAGGGTCACGGACGAGACTCTCATGGTAGTCCCGGAAGAAAGACCCCGCGTATACTGATGTGTTTGACCCTGCCACATCTTGTAATGAGATGCCGGCTGATTGTGCTTGTGTCAGCTAACAAGCCGGGAACATAGTGTTCCAAGGGGGGATCATACCGCTCTCTAGCGCTTCGTATGTTGACTCTAATTGGAGCCGAAACTGAGGATCTAATGCCTGCTTAACGTTAGGAGAGGAATTTTACGTGGCTGCCCAGATTCAGGGCAAAGAAAATGGGACATACTGCTGCTGTCTCGGCAGACAGACTGAAGAAGTTGGCATCAAACAGGCCGACGTCCTCCTTGAGGAAGTGGCCCCCAACAACATTTGTCTATTCCATATCCCGTTAGCACTCCACAGGTAACCATCTAGAGAAGCTCCGTTGTCCGGTACACACCCCATTCAGTTTCTCAAAGTTCGGGTGATGGAACCCGTCGATATTGAACCGGTCCTTGGGGATTTCGGACCACGCACTGCGCCCTTCGGCTAGGAGATTCCAAAGCTTCTCGGGGTTATCGACGTCGCCCGCGAATCGACAACTCATGCCAATGATGGCGATAGGAGTGTTGGCTGCCATTTTTGCAAATATGCGTATTCTGCCCGGGTGTTGTTGAAACAGAATTAAGAATCCTCACAGGAGATAGCCTCAGATAGGGAGCGTTACAGTCAACTGCCGGGAGAGGAGGTGTGCTTGGTGGAGGCTATATGTACGGGTTCCATCCTCACTCCACCTCTTTGATCACTCATCGAGTGGGAACAGATCGCGATGCCCAGGTCGCACACCTGCGGCAGAGTTGCTCGGCATCAACTTCGTGTTACTTTCCCCTCTAGGTTTCCCCTCCTCTCGCTCCCGAAGCAGCATTGATGGTCGGCCTCATGCCAGTGCTGCTGTTGGTGATTGCGCATCGCCTGTCTGAGGAGCTAGTCAAGTTACTCCGACCGCCTTATCGAGTGCGTATAAACTCCGACTCAGCTCACGAACCCACTCAGCTGGGGAGGTTCGCGGAGAGTAAGACCGGGGAACCCTGAGGGAGAGTGGGTACCCGAGACCTGGGGAACGCACGTCATCGACGTTGGGCTCACTGCTGAGAAGCCTCCGAGAGAGGCCTGTCATTGTCCATTCCGAAGCGTCTTGGACGTACGATGTTGCCGGGGGGCACCGGGGTAGACGGCGGCCCACTCCGCTGAGAAACTCCGGACTCCCGGAAGATGACCCACTTTAACTCCGAGCCCGTTCAGGGGGGAGGCCGGGGGAGGCACCCGGGCGCTATTCCTTTCCTTGTTGAAAATGCCAGTCGACCAACCGTCGACCAACCCAGTGAGCTGAGACAGCAATCTCTACGAGATCTGCGAACTTGCATTCGACTATTGAGATCCCTCTGATCCCCCTCCCGTGTCGCCGTGGGGGTCCTCTGACTCGCCTCTGGAGCAAGCTGAGTGGAAGTTCGAGACAAATCCGGCGATTGCCGGCGGGATCGCGGTGATCTTTGGGCGTTTGACGAATAGTGCGTCCCTTTAGCGAACTTGGCGTGCAGATCCTTGCGGCAACAGCCCTACCAACTCGTCTAAGCTCGTCCACACCCACCCGCGCCCGCAGCCGCCACAGTGTGCCTGTCGGGGATCCCATTTCCCGGCTTTCGGGCGTCCAGAGCCGTCGGGGTCTCGGGCCAGATGGGGAGATCGATGGTGAATGCCAACCAACACTGTGTTGAAGTTGATTGTGCCTTCTCGATCCAGTCGGAGTCGGCGGTGTAAGCGTCACACAACAGCATCAGTGTGTTGCTGTGATGCTGTCTGTGTGACCCTTCCTGTCTCAACCGGAATGGGGTCGCTTGGCCGCATCATGACCAACACTGCTTGTGTTTCTGACTGTTGGGTCGCAAAGCTGGGCAGACAAGGGCTGCGACGAGAGTCAAGAAGAGATCTTCCCACTCCCTGGTATTTATAGAGGGGCAGTTCCAAATCCCCCCCTTTTGCAGTGAGACATACTGATGCCGATGACGATGCCGCTAGAGGGGGAACTGGCTTATCGGAGGTTTTGCTATGGCCCTTTTTCCTCGTTTTGGCCCCCGCAGAAAGCCCAAACACGCTGTCAAAATTGCAGTGGCTTGAGTCGGCGTCGACCTGGGACCCGGGGCTTGTCGGAGGGTTCCTCAAGGGCAAGTCTCGCCAGGGCTGCAGCCAATCGATGGTGTTCCGCGAAGCGGATCTCGATCGAAGCTTTGGGGATCTCGGGAAGGCGCAGCAAGCAGTGTCCAGTCCGGGAAAGGTGCCGTCGATCCATCTGATGCCCTTCTGCAGACAACGGCAACCTGGGGGCTAAACGGGCATACCAACAGCTGACGCAAACAGCAAAGATCGGTAGCTTGTTTCGAGCACCTTCACGGGCCTGCATCTCATCCGGGTCACTTGCCTCTTTTTGTGCTCCCCGCCGAGCAGGGTTCCGCCGAAAACTGTCGGCCCGCGGCCGCGAGCCGTGCACAAGCAGCACAACTCCCTCCCGGACGGTAGGTTTCCCCTGTCTTCCGGTGAATCTTGCAGTTTGACATGACTTACTCGTATGTCCTATGCATGCATATGTATCCGGCCATGTTGATCACGGCCCAAGCCCCCGAAGCCCTCCGGGCTTTTCTGTCATCCCAGATCCCTCCTCTCCTTCCCGTCTTTGCCCCCTTTCCTTCTACTTACCGTGTGTGACTCGTTGTTGCCGTCTAGACCAATCTCCCTCTGTCAGACCATCTCGATTCTCGGTTCCCAGCGTAGCACCGACCACGATCCACAGCCAAGATGGTTACCCTCGAGCAGATGCGGTCTTCCAACGCCCGCATCGCGGAGTCTCTCCCCGCGGGTATGGTTGCCGTGTTCGTCGGCGGCACTAGCGGTATTGGCGAGGCCACCATGAAATTGTTCGCCAAGCACGCCGTCGAGCCCCGTATCTACTTTGTCGGCCGGTCGGACCGGGACGCGGGGCGCATCATCAAGGAACTCACGGCCATCAACCCCGAGGGCCAATATCACTTCATCCAAGCCGACCTCTCCCTGTTGCAAAACGTGGACGCCGTCTGCCACGACATCAAGAGCCACGAGGAACTCATCAACCTGCTCTTTCTCACAACCGGCACCATGGTGACAGGCAAAGGTACTACCCACCCCTGAAGAAGAAGGATGAACCAGAACATGAACTAACACACCAACCCAGACACCCCAGAAAACCTCTACTACCCCACGGCAGTAACCTACTACGCCCGGATCCGCCTCATCGCTAACCTCCTCCCCCTCCTCCAAAAAGCGTCCTCCCTCCGCCGCGTCGTCTCCGTATTCGGCGGCACCAAAGAAGGTCCCGTCTGCGTAGGCGACCTCCAGGGCCGCTCCCTGGGCCTCCCCCCCCGCATCACCAAAGACACCCCCAAAGAAACCACCACCACCACACCCAAAGAGACCACCACCAAGATCACCAAACCCTCCCCCCCAACCTTCCCCAACACCACCCCCAAACCCCACCCAGCGCACCTCCTCCAACTCCGCGCGCACACCTCCTCCCTAATGACGCTCGCGCTCGAATCCCTGGCCCTCGAAGCCCCCGACGTCAGCTTCGTGCACGCCTTTCCCGGCTTCGTGCGCTCGCACGCGGGGCGCTCCGTGCGCGCCGCCTCGGCGGTGGGGCTCGTCCAGGTCGTGCTGAACAAGGTGGTCGGGCCGATGGTGACGGTCCCGTTGGCGGAGGCGGGTGAGAGGCAGCTGTTTGTGGCGACCAGTGGACGGTTTCCGGCGAGGTGTGGCTGGGGCCCGCCGGTGGCGGTGGCGGTGGCGGTGGCGGGGGATGGGGGGGAGAGGGGGAGGATGGGGAGTGCGAGTAGTCATGTGTCGGTGACGGCGGGGGTGGGGTTGGTGGAGGGGGAGGGGGTTGCGGTTGCGAGGGGGAGTGATGGGTTGGTGGGGGGCGGGGTGTATTCGGTGAGTTTTGATGCGGAGCCGCAGAGTGTGAAGGTGGAGGAGGCGGTGCAGCAGTTGAGGGAGGGGGATTTGGTGAGGAAGTTGTGGTTGCATACTGTGGGGGAGTTTGTGAGGGTGACGGGGACGGAGTTTGTGTAATGGTCGGACGGGTGGGTTGACGAGATCATGATTGGTTCGGCTGGGGTGGGGATAGGACTGGGAACGGACGAGCTTTGCTGGCCTAGGTAGGCTCGTTCTTTTGTTTTTTCCTTCATATTAGTAGGGTTCATTTTGGGATCCGGCGCTGCTGGGTCAGGTGCTCTGGATCCCGTGTAATTTTGCAAAGAGTTGTCTGATAGCCCGGCTTTCTTTCTCCAATTTACTTCGTACAGGGAGTACTCGACGACGGTGGTCTCGTCTGGCCGTCTCACCGGAGGATATTCTTTCAGTCTTACTCCCAGTGCCTCGAGGCCTTGTGGTCGGGCGTATAAGCCCGTTGAACATACCAATTCGGAGTCTACAAATCCATTTTCTTTCCATCCAAGTTAACCACAAAATGAGGCTGTTGTTACAGGAGTTTCACGGAGGCAGGTGGCTTGATTCCTTAACAAATGTGGCTGGGCTGAGTGCATGTGCAATGTATATCTCCCCAACCTCTAGCTAGAGGATAATGAAAAGACGGACACTCTAACTGCGGAAGCGGAACGAAAGTGGTTCAACTGCCCAAGAAAATGCCCCAACGCTAAGCACGATTGTTCAGCAGCCTACGGCGTTTTCCTGAATGGAACTGGCTTTTCTGGCTTTGGCTTTATTCTTCTCAATTCCTTTCCCTTTCTAAGTTCACTGACGACTGCAAGTGAACGCTGGGGTGCCCCGAAGTTGGCGAGTATGTCGAACCGAGGTCCGGATTGTGGTCCGTCGCAATATTTTGAGGCTCGGAGCAACAATGTGGGGCCTGGGAGGTTGCAGTGACAGAGAAATCTATTGATAGCTCAAGCGAAGTCAAATCAGGCTTTGACGGTCGCGGTTAGGGGATATTCTCGGCGCCGAGCCGGCTGCTTACGCCCCTGAGCGCCGCAGACGGACGCACTTTGTAGGGGGTGAAAACACTCCGACTCGCCAAGAAATCATCAAGCCAGATGCGGCCAATCTGTTGTGCCGCCATCACCTGCATGCGGCGGGCTTAGTGCTACGTCAGTGGCTGATGGCAGCTTGACTTTTGGAGTTCTGCATGCCCCTGGGGTTTCGATGGAACCCCAGGTTTAGATATGACAGCAACACTGACTCCATCTGCTCAGGGCATGTGTTGTCCGGCCAGATAGAGATGGTCAGCATCAGGTGTGTTAAAACTTGTTGCTGTTGCCCAGTTTTTCTTCCTACCCCTTGTCATCTCTAATATCTTCTGGGACATGTTTTTTGCACATTTCCTCCCCGAGTCGCCTTTCCACGGTTGACAAACGACCAAGATGCCTTGAGGACTCCTACGACTGTATTCTCTCCTTTTTTCTATCTTTCTCGTTATTGCAGCGTTCTTGTCTTGGTGCCCTTTTCTTTTTCGTCATGGATACCCCTACCTTGCACCAGGAGGTGGAGCTCTTAGGACTCCTCGGGAGGGTGGCAGGGTTGATATGCATCCTTCCAGTCTGCTTGGTCTTCGGCTCATATGCCTTCATGCCGCGTATCCGGACAGCGCCCAACACGTTCCTAGTCCTTGCGTCTATTGCCAGTATACTGGGTTGCATCGCTTGTATCGTCGGCAGCGAGGGTGTTCGGCAGGGAGTGTCAAGCCCACTATGTCTAAGTCAACACTTTCTGCTAGATGTGTAAGTGCTACTCTTGGCCGCATTATATTCCATGCTAACCATCTCAAACCAGGTTTGCGTTGTCAGGCCCTTTGTGGTCTCTAGCGCTTGCAGTTCATCTGCTCATCGTGTTAGGTAGAGGGTCAAAACAAATCCAACTTCGACAGTGGGGTTGGGCATACTGCTTCGTCTGTTACGGAGGACCACTGGCTCTTGCACTTTCCCATTTGCATGTGAAGATGCCAAAGGACGTTAGACTGCATAGCGATGTTGAGGTATGCCTATTCTCTTGAACGGTTGATTCCGTCTTTTCTCATCATCCTATAGGGTTGGTGCTGGGGGTTCCCTGGGCAGGACATGCTGCAGATTTACATCCCCGTCTGGGGGAGCATTGGCGCCTCGCTCATCATCTACCTCGGGGCGGTCGGACGTATTCTTAGAAATACCCATCACAACAAGAAGGAGTGGCAGAGCTTTCTCTCCACTCGTTGCTCGACGAGTTCCACTTTGCCTACGGCAAGAAACACAGTCCCATGGAGGGTGAGTAGATCACATCCTTTTAGGAAAAGGCCCACGTTGACATCTTGGTAAGGACTCAGTTCTTTCACTTAGCGACTGGCCCCTTTCTCCGAGTTCTGGGGGTGTCTTATTCGGCACCCAATGCGCTGAAGCGAAAGCAAGTGGCCGTCCTCGCCCTGTCACCTATCCATCACCCGCATATCGGCCGTCAGTTTCAGCGACGGACACTTGGCTTCATAGTGCCTTTGCCGCTTGTCCCCGGCCGGCCCCTACACCGCCTCCGTCCAAGGGACTTTTTGTGAGGAATATGTCGTGGCATGCTAAAGTCGGGGATCAATATTTATGGACCGGCCTCATGTTGGCGGGCTCGTTGCTCGTCACATGGCTACCAGGGACCATTGGCCTTGGTTGGAAACTAACTCACCCGGAGTTGCCTGCCCCATTAGGATTCCGCGCCACGGTTGCAATAATGCTTCCGCTTCAGGGGCTGTGGGTTTCTGGGATATTCTTGACCTTGAACTGGAAAGATATTCGCCAGGGCACAATCAGGCCGCCTTCACGTACTGCAATTAGTGGTCTTCTGGAAGAGCCTCTGCTCCGGCTCCGTGGAACCTCGGTGTCATCAAGAGGAACGGATCACGAGGTGGAAAAGGTCAAGAAGGACCTGAAGGTGACAATACCGTGGAACCGCCAAACGAAGAGCGATGATTGGGACTTTGTCGATATTGGGATTCCTTCACGGGCGAACACAGTCACACGGCCGAGGCCGAACAGTGAGCCGGTAATCTCGCCGCTGCTCCCAAGCCCGGTGATCAGGCGGAATGGCCTGTGGTAGGGCTTCGAGCTAAGTCGAACAATAGACACAGAAAGGAAATACTTGTCTATAGAACAACTGTTACAAATGTGGTATGTTGAGGGGGGTGTGGTGGCCAGTTGTTCCCGGAATTGCAAGTCATTCTACTGTTTATTGAGATGCCGATACCCCCTCCCACATTTGACATATCCTTCATGTGAGAAAACCAAAGATAATCTCTCCTGGCTCCGTCCGTTCTCCTAAGATGTGCCCTCAGCCTTAAAGCCAAACCGTAACCCGCCATCCCCGTTCTATCCCTAAAATAAACACCAAGAGCCCCAAAGCAAGCCACCAAATGCAATCCCACGGGCAGAAATCGCAAAAGAACTAACTAAAAACCCAACCCCAAACCCCCTTCATCCCCCTGCCCCCCCTAACCCCCCATGCCCCCTCACCAAACAGTCCTCTCCCTCGAATAATACCGATACCGGCAGAAGTAGCCACGATCATAGTGCCACGGCTCTGCCAGCGCCGTCCTTCTCACACATCGGTCGCACTCGCCCTCGTAGGTGTGGCCCCGCTCGCTGAGCATCAGGTGGCTGTAGGAGCGGTCGCAGGGCAGGAGGCGGGTGCGGCGGGGATGACCGCATTGGTAGTAGTCGGAGTATTTGTGGCACATTTCTTTTTTGGCTGGGTGGTGTGTTTGTTTTGGTGGGTGTTTGGTGGGAGTTTTTGGTTGGGTGGTGTTGGTGTTTGAGGTGAGTTGGTTTGTGTTGGTGTATTGGATTTTGTTTGGAGTTTAGAATGCGGAGATTCGGAACTTTGGAGAGAGGAGAAAAAACGCAGCCAGAGTGGAAAAGAGATGGGAGACATGCTGGCTTTATACTTTTTGGGGGGCAGAGAAGCTTCAGACTTGCTTGAGTCATGCTCTCCGAGTTGCCATCGCCATGGTCACCGGTCTGCGGCCGATGTACCACAGATGGTTTCACCGTTCTCGGTCAGGCAAAAAGGGAGATTCTCATGATTGGAAAAGATCATGCAGGCGCATCGGGATTTAGTCCTACAAAGCCTGCATGTAGGTAACCGTAAAAACAGTCCCATCTCATTTTCGTTTCCTGGGCTGAGCTTAGCGGCGGCCTCACCAGACAACACTTAATCTCACAGGTATGACAAGGCTTTCTTCATCCTGTGACCATGATAGTCCTGAGCTTGAACCAGGCTGTCGGCTGCAGAAATTAAAGAATTCAAGGCTCGCCCGCACTCGTTTAGGGTGCTCGTGCAGCTGAGTGGGATGCCTTATCTGAAGGAAGCAGCCGAGGCTGAGACAAAACGCTTTTCACGTTTTCGTACCTGCGTTAGCAAGATGGGAAAATGGTTTTGTCATTGGTAGAAAGTTACCAACAGTCTAAACGTGTGCTGCACCCATGGTACCGGAGTAGAGGTTCGAGCACCGCCACGATTTGACTGGAGAGACGGCGCATGGCGACATCATCTGTGCCTCACCACCGCCCTGCCACTGTGGGTGATCCTGCCAAGAGTAGTATGTAGGTACGAATTTGGTCTTTTTGTTTCTCTTATATTCTTCTTTGCATAATTTGTTGCTGCAACAACCCAGATGAAAAGGTACAATGACTAACTTGGGTCTGTCAGCCGACCCCTATCCTTCGGTGAGCAAGGTGTGGCGGCCTGGAGCCTAGCCAACCGGTTATTGGTTTGTGAAAGGTGTCGCATGAATTTGCAAGGCCGCTGAGAATAGGTACTTCTGTGCGGAAAGGCCATGTGGCTAGGCTCACACTCGTCCCATCTTTGAAGCCAAGGAAAAGGGGCATGGCGAGTGAAGTGACATCACCGAAAGCTGATCCTTAAAAGAGAATAGATCTCACAATAAATATAAGAATTTGTTAGTGATAACCCCGATCATTTGTATGCCAAAATTTGATGTATTGATGGTTAATGGTAGCGTTGACAGCTGAACCGGATGCGGTGTTGCTGGAAATTAAGTCACTCTTACCATCCAAAAACCAGCGAAAACGGCAAACTGTAAACAGTGGCCTTGGTTTACTCAACCTTCACTCTTCCGGTGGAATGTAAAAGCAGGATGGGTACCTTATTTCATCCCCCACCACTTTCGAGAGTACCAAAAGGTCACACACAACTGGTGCTGTGCTACACCGTCAGGCAGAAGAATCATGAATTCCGTCCCTTCTCTACTCGGCCTTGTGAGAGCTGGCACAAGCTAGATTTCCTGAAACCTTTTGGTCAGTTACTTTTGATGTCTGGTTTCACATGAAGCTTGTTCGAACCAACTCCGACTCCATCTCTTGCCATGAGATCGCGCACTCGACTTCCCCAATCACGATTTACGACCACGGCAGGACAGATCAGCCCGAGAGCCAATACTCGATAGCCATTGACGGGATTTCAAATCACACAGTCATTGCCGATGAGCCCTCATCTTAGGAGGGGAGCGAAATACCTCATTCTCGTTCCCTTTCTTGTTTTGGTCTACGTCCACATTAACAAACGCGACCACATCCGACTCCCTGCAGAATTCACCCAAGCTATTGTGCCCACCATACTTGGTGCGCCGGGTCGCCGTCCGAACCATCATGGCCCGACCGATTGGTGGATCGAGTTCTTCACGCGACTGACGACGACCTACGTCAATGTGCCTCCAGTCGGTGTCAAAGGACCGGCAACGGGCTATAACTGGCGACCTGACATCGACTCCACGAGGCCTGCGTTAGTTCGGCTAACGTACAAGACAGAAGCCAAGTTTCGCCAGTCCCATGCTGCCTTTATCAAGCAGCTGCCCGAATTTGCGAGCCATCTCCCCTACGAAGTTGGCGCCACTGGCATTGTCACGACCGCCGGTGCTTCCAACTTTGGGCAAGCCGTCTCTCTCGTCCTCCTAACGCGACAAACAGGCTCGCAACTCCCGATACAGATCGTGCTCGATTCGACGGCGCCATGGGTGGATTTCCTCTGTGTCCACGAAATGCCCCTTCACAACGCGACTTGCCTTTACACTAGCGACATGTGGACAAAGCTCTACCCATCCATCACCATCAGATTCCAGCGCTTTCAGTGGAAATCCATTGCCCTTGTCTCCTCAACCTTTCAAAACGTCCTTTTCCTCGATGCCGATTGCTTCCCCGTCCTCAATCCCGATTCCATCTTCGAGAAAGGCGCCGAGCCGTTTACATCCGCGGGCTTCATCACATGGCCTGATTTCTGGGCGTCCACTACGTCCAGTTTGTTCTACAAGATAGCGGGTGATGTCGAAGTGCCACTCCTCACGTCGCGGACCACGTCGGAAAGCGGCGTGATGGTCTACGACAAGGCGCGGCATGCCGACACCCTGCTCCTCGCGGTGTACTACAACTACAACGGGCCGGCGCGGTACTATACCATGTTGACGCAACATGGCCCCGGAGAGGGGGACAAGGAAACATTCTTCCAGGCTGCGTTGGTATTGGATGCGCTGCGGGAGAAGGGGGTCTACAACCCACCGACTGAGTGGATGAAACCAGGCGTGGGGGTCAAGAAAGGATACTGGGATGTCAAGACACTGCCGCAGGCACACGGCCGAACAGCCAAGGGAAAGAAATGGAGGGGCATGTTCATGCAGCAGATGGACCCGGCGGAGGACTACCGGACAGTGATGGCCGCTGTGGAGAAGGCAGCCGCTGACGACACGCCCTCTCCCAAGTCAACCACCAACCACCTTCTCAAAACACCAAGAACCGCACCCGACCCGGCAGTGACGGCCTACATCACCAACTCAACCTTCCTCTCCGCCATCGGCAACCTAACCGTCACCCCCGACACGTCCCGCTTCATGTTCTTCCACCACAACGGCATCAAGCCCGACTTCACGCGCCTGCTGGACGCAAGCGTGGGCATGCAAGCAGAGGGGGACGACGGGCAGCCGCTGCGGATGTGGGGAGATCCGGACTGGATCGTGGCCCGCACGGGGCAGGATGTGGAGAAGTTGTGGTGGGAGGCATCGATGCGCGTGTATTGCCAGCCGGCGATGGTGGAGTGGTGGGCGGGGGTATGTAAGGAGATGAAGAGGATTTGGGGAAGGGTTTATGAGTAGAAAGGGGGTATAGAATAAGGGGTGTGACGGATGGATAGTGGTTACTTTACTGTATGGCGAATTGTCCTTTTTCACTGTCATGTGAAAGTGGTCAGGGAACATGACTGTGACTCTGAGTACCTGGGCACTCCTGTATAACAAACACAACGCTACACACCCGCTCACATTCTCCTCCCACACCCTCCTCTCCCTCTTCTCCCACTTTCTTCCCACATCCATCTCCTAACACTCTAATACCCCCTCTCCCGATCCACCAAATTCACCAATTCCTCCCCCCGCCCCAGCCTCTCCAAATTCCCCTCCAAAATCGCCAACACCCTCTCAAAATACCTCGTCGACGCCCCCGACACATGCGGCGTGACAATCACATTCCGCATCCCCCACAGCACATGCCCATCCGGCAACGGCTCCGGATCGGTCACATCCCAGCGCCGCCCCCCTCACCAACCCCCCCTCCAACGCCTCCACCAGCGCCTCCGTATCCACCACCTCCCCCCGCGCCACATTCGCCACGAACGTCCTCCCCTTCCCCTCCCCATCCCTTTTCCCCTCCCCCAGCACCTCAAACTCCGCCCTCCCCACCAACGCCCTCGACCGTCCCGTCAACGGCGCCGCCACCACCAGCAGATCCAGCCCCGACCGCAAAAAGGCATGCAGATCCTGCGTCTCGGCGCCCGAAAACCATTTCGCCGGGAGCGTGCCGTCCGGGTCGCCCAGGCCGGGCGGGGCCCAGAGCGGTCGCGGCGGGAGTCAGGGGTCGGGCGCGCGTGGAGAGTGTACGCGTGTACTCGCATGCCGAGCGC